TTTTTTGGTTGTGACCAAGCGGAAACCGGCAGAAACCAAAAAGAAACGGTGCTTTCAGGCTTCCAAACGGCATCTTTAGGCATCCAAACAGTGTCTGTTCACTGAAAATTGTATCCGGCAAAAATTTGTGCCGGTTGAAGATCCAGGTATAAGTAGACCATGTCCTGTTCCACACCGTGTCGATTTTTTCCTCAACCAACACCCCACCCTCGATCTACAAATCCGAGTGCCGTCCAGGACGAGAGACACGTCTGACCGACGTGACTGTCGAACCAAAAACACCGAGTCCGACCCTAAACCCTAAACCCTCACACCCTCACAGCCGAACCGAACCGCAACGACCGAACAACCCCCGGGCGTTCCGTCGTGATGACATCCGTCTCGGCTCGGAACGGGTTTGTCGGGTTCGACCGCCTCGGTTGGTCAGGCCAAGAGGCCCTGAGCCTTGGATGACAGGGGGAGGAACCCGGGGAACGGACGAAGTCGTCAACTTCATGTTGAACTGGATGATGAAGTTGCAACTTCAAGCAGGTTAGTGTTCGACTGTGTTCGAGGTGTTCGAAAGGAGCAACAGGCAGTGAAGTAGGCCTAGATAGTTTTTAGCTGGCTCAAGACGATGAACTTGAAATGGCTGGCCTGAAAGTTGACAGAGAAGGAAGGCGGTTGCGCACTGTGTTTTCACCCTCAATTGGAAGTCTGCCTTTTCCACCCGCGAAGCTTCTCTCGAGCACAGTTTTTGATCCCATGCCGTTCACAGGATTTCTTTGCTTTTTCATCGGCAAGACAACTAGCTTAGGACTCCTGGCTTTCCTCCTCCCCGCCCTCCGATCTCCAGTTTTACACGGGGACCTGGTTGACCGGTTTGACCGGCCGTGTGTCGGTCAAAGCGGCAGTTGATCGCCCGGCCGCGTGCGGTTGGGAGAGTTTGAGTCGCTGAGGAATGCCTTCAGCGATGTTGGTCAAGAGACAGGGATGGCAAAGGCACACCTCTTGCTGGCAGATATATACATGTGCCATGGCAGAACACTTATAGTGAGCTTGTGGTATCATGCTATTGCATGCTATTGCTGGTTAGTTCTCAAGCACCAAGATCCCTACGTCTATACTGTATACTACCCTATTCGGTGGCACACACCGCTTGCTGTGGCAGAACAGCACTTCGAATATGCTACGGTATATTAGCCAAACAGAAAGGGTCGTTGTGAGGGCTGATCACCCCGCATAGGTGCCCATTTCTAATTGAAACGTTTGTCTGATGGCTCATAGCTCGGAGAATCGTGAACGAGGCAGAAGACATCCTCAAACATCGGCGGCATGAGATGTTCATTCAACAACCGCCAAAAGGTGCTGTTCACTATTTCAGGGAAAACACCATCGTGATTTTCTGGAGTTTTGCTGAATCATGTCCTCTCCTGGACATTACGTTTTGGCAGACACTCATGTCATATGTTCACGAAGAATGGCTCGCTGTTGATCGTTTGTCTTCTTTGTGAAACTTCAAAATGTTGGGGGAATTTGCCATAAACGAGGAAATTCTCAACTTCCTTCAGTCTGGAGTCTGAGCAATGAAACTCCAGCTGGCTATCTCCGATTGGAGCAAGAAAGCCTGCACCGCCAGAACAGAAAACTATACAGGATCCGTATTTATTCAGTGGCACGGTGCTTCCAGGTGCTACTAGTGTCTAGTGTGGGAGTGGAAGCACTCTCCCAAACAGTAGGGCTAGTAGGAATGTTTGTTTCTCAAAACTTGCAAGTTTTGGTCGATTTCCTTTAGCTATACTTACCTCTACCAACCATGTAATGGTCCTACATCACCAGTACCTAGTGCGAGTAACAAGTCGAGTAGGGACACTTTGAATCACTTTTCTGTGACACTCACCGCTCAAACGACCATACACAGGTTCAACCTCCTTGCGCACAAGCCTTGTGGTTGACAAGGAGACCCCTATAACGAGGGCTGCACCCTAAGGATCAACCCAGACATTTGTCAGTTCCCCCCCAAAAACGCGAACTTCGACGGTGACCAGATGCACATGTCATGAGCAGTACGAGAACTATGGTTCACAGTTCGATCTCAAGATGGTCATGAGCGGTTGACCACCGGCCGTCAAGCGGACTCCGTACCTATCGCGGGAAACACCGACACCTCGCGATCGGCCATGGCCGCTGATCACCGACACCTCGAGCCTTTTCCCAGGGCAACAACCCTGTGTGACGTCACACAGCATCTGTCGAACCATCTGTCTAACATACCTATGACGCGACCTCACGATCTGACGCCCAAACGACCTCCACCGCACCGAAGGAATTCACCGCTCGCAGCGATGCCGAGGCATCGCCAGGAGCCCAGCGAAGCCGAGCACGAGGCGCGGCAAGCGGAGCAGCTCTACCGACGTGCAGGCGATGGGTTTCAGAGAACGTTCTCGGAGTGATGCCGACGCCGAAACGAGACCGCCGACGCCGAAAGGAGACGCGGCCCGGCCCGGCCCATCGGACGCTGAACTCGGTGTGGTCGAGGCGAGTCGAAGAAGGTGGCCAAGGCGGTGCGGAAGTTGGGCTTCGCCTGCTGCGAGCAGGACCGGCCCAGCGCTGCCGCGCGGTGTGCCAGCGAGGCGGTGGTCTTCTGCCGCAAGGCGTGGGGTGCAAGACTTGGGGGGTGGGTGAAGGGTTGTGCAAGACCTGGGGGGTGGGGGCGGGGTCTGTTTTTGTGGAGAAGATGGTTAACTACCCGTGATGAGTGGCTGACTTTTGTCGCAGAAAGTCTGATGAGTGCAACATGAAACTGCAAAAATTCAAACAACCTCCGTGTTTTACTTGTTTTTTCCGCTTTCTTTTAACCTGAGCTCCCAATCTTCCACAAAAGACTGGGGAACTGGGCTTACAACACCCGTGACGCATTCATCAGCGAACGGAGACCGCTGAAAGTTTCTCAGAAGGTGCCAACAGGAGACAAAACGACCGTCCTCCTCCTCCTCCTCATCTCCATCTCTATCATCCCACCCCAACCTGCTTCCCTCCCGCCCTCCCGGGATCATTGGCCCCCCCCCCCCCCCCAAACCCCCCCCCCCACCCCCCTCCCCCCCCCCCCCCCCGGGATCATTGGCCCCCCCCCCCCCCAAAAAGACCCACCGCAGACCACGTTTTCCACGCGTGCTGCGTTGCTCGTCCGGCCTGGGAGCAACGCAAGGCAGGGGATCGCTACGCCACTGCGGAGATGCTCAGCTGGGAAGCTCAGTGCCTTGGATCGCAGCGAGTTCGCCTGCGTGCCGCGGCGTTCGCACTCAGGCATTAGAAGGCGACAAGGAGAGAGTGGGCATGAGAAGAAGAATGCGAAGTGAGTGGGGATGATTGAATGAACATCCAAACAGATGTTGAAAACAGAGTTGAACATCTTGCTCTTTTTGTTTGAAGCAGAGACCGCAGAGACCTCCCAAAAGCTGCGCCATTTTGTTGATTGCGCCCGGAGACCTGGATTTGTGGGTATGCCGCCTAAAGTAGGGGATCTCCAAACACACTTGGTTTAAAGTAACGTGTTTCTTGAGCCCTTCCCCTTTCAGACGATATGGGATATGGGTGTATTGAAATAGGGAGGCCTCCCAAAGAGACCTGGAAGAAGGGAAACAGACCAGTCAAACCATTGGTCGGGAGTTTGAAGTGAAAACTGGCGCAGATATTTTTCCTGTCCCCAATTGGCTCTCAGATGCCTTGTTTGTCGACACTGTTGTTCAACCCTCTTGCGGGTCGACAGATGTCCCGCTTTCTCTCCATCGAACCAGCTCAGGGCTTCGAAGATCGTTTTAGGCATGACCTGTTTTTGACGTGCGTGCAGCAACGAACTCTCGCCAGATGAGAGACTCGTGCAGTCTTTGGAAGCAGCTTGTTTCACGCCGCTTGTGGCAACGGGCAGAGTTTCGGCTTGAGAAGAGTGGCATCGAATTCTTATCGCAGCTGGTCACCTTTTTGTGTGGATGTTTACACGCCTAAGGCCACAAGGCCACCAACTTCCGTGAAAATGGCCATGCAGAATCCAATCGACAAGTGAACATGCGTTTAGATCTGTCAGAAACGGAGGACATTTGTAATGGACGCCGTTTCGTTCCAGCACAAGACAATGGGTCAAGGGGTCCAGCGTGGTCAAAAGATCCTTGGCTGGAATTCCGTGGTCTCAGAGTGGCCGATGTTTCATGTGTCCACAGCCTAAGCAACTAGATATTTCCAGAAGCTTGTACTTTTCGATGAGTTGAGCTTGACATGGGCTGAAGTCTCCAGCCATACAAGAGACTTTTTCGATCTTTTTAGCCACCCGCGATGAGCCCTTCTGACTGCCATGTCGTCGCCACTCATGGCTTGAAATGGCTCAAGGCTGTCTACGCTGATTCCATGCGCCTTCAACAGCTGTCTCAAAGGTTCTCAAAGTCTTTCATGGAAAGAAGCTGCGTAGCCAGTCGACAACTGGC